TAGGAAGATGCCAATGTCTGGAATGGAACTTCTGCCCATGCACCTTTCTCAAGGGAATAACAAATGGTTAGACGTGCTTGTGTATTGGCACATACCTGATATACAGCATTTGTGGTATTACTTACATCCCCAAGCCTCACGAGTGCCCCAATACTTTTACTGTTGACAGCTGCCGTTGTACAATCAAAACCAGCATTCCCAGTACCACGATCTACGAGTTTAATATTATCATTAGGGCCAAGTAATGCAGTATTTGGGCTATCTATTACCAGTAAGCGATCAATCTCTGTTGCATAGGAAGGAGTGGGTACTTGTAAATAAGCAGTAGGGTGAGGTGGGTCAACAGTAAAATAAGGAAGATCCGACACCCACTTCCACACATTTGCAAGCCGAGCACTTTGATAACAAAGAATGAATCGACCTGTATTGTTTACACGAGGTACATACAATGCCTCTACAGGGCTAATAGCATTCACTACACTTCCCGTTCCTCCGCTCGTGGATTCCGCGTCCGCATTTTTGGCCTCTGCAGTACAGTTGGCCCCATAGCTTGGTGTCCCAGAAGGCATACTACTCACATCCACAATCTTGACATGATCAGCATTGCTTAACAAGTTACCCACAATGGCAATGTTAACTTGCTGTCCCATGTAAGTGGGAGAAGGTGCCACTGTATAGCTTTGTGCACCAGTTAGACCAACAGAAAAGACATAACCACCTCCTGCATTTGGTACAAGAAAGAATGATAACTGATCATACGCCTTAAAACAGACGTAAAAGTATCCTTTTGTCATTATGGTCGGTTGAACAGTAGCAGCTGTGGGGGATTGTGCAGTAAAGGTATCAAAGGTGGTGGTACCACCACCTGGAGGGGCCTTACCATTTACACAATCTGGTGCTTTTCCTCCTGTTATCACATCATTCTCTGCCACAAATATTCGAGCCCTGTTACCATTTATCACAGTGTCGCCAAATATAGGATCAATAGCACGAAAAGTCATGGTGAAGGTAGCACCGAGGCCTATAATTTCTGGTGTACTATACGAAGTGGGTGATGGATTCTGAACGTTTAGTGGCGTTGTTTGTACAGAGGCGGCCCGTTCATACGTTCCCTTAAGTTGCACACACATCTGAAGGGTTCCTGAAGTTGGCAAAGGATATTTT